CTGGGCAAGGATTACATTTTTTTTAATAGCGATTAATCACATTATGCACAAAATTCAATAATGAATTCAAAAGTAGTGTATTGTGCACTTTTTTCATTTACAAGTACTGCTATATGAACGAAAGTGCAATAACATTTGGTTTGCAAACACTTTAAACAAATAAGGTGCTTTTTTACAGCAATATTCCTTTTACATAGTAGCAGGTAAAATATTTCTTGTAAATCACAAAGCTATTTGCCACTGCCAGGGCATTAACGTTTTTATAGAACATATTTTATAGTTTTATATAAACGGTTCGTTTAGCCGGCCCTGGTGGGCCAGAGCGCGGTTCAGTTGGGCGCGGGCGTGGTACGCATGTAGTGTGAGCGCTAACCGTGCCGATACTTCTGATAACGTGCAGCATGATTGCGTGAACATTTCTGAGCGGCAAAATTGATAGATCTGTAAAGCAATATATTGTGAGAGGGCGGTGTGTTACCACATCCCAAACGACTCAATAATAAACCACAAAGTTAACAAAACGATGCACTCCACTGAGCGAGAGCGCTTCTCTGCTGTCTTCACGTGCTATCGGAAACTTCCTATTTTCCACTTATGAAGTCGTGATTATGAGCACGTTGCATTTTTTTCTGTTAAAAATAACAGTGGACAGTGGTTTGTGAATGTTGATGCTTAGCCTAAATAATTTTATCAGCAGCGTCCATGTGAGCGCTGCTGCAGACTTAGCCAACCCCAAATGCTCTCATTGGTTGAGACGCGTGATGACACTCATCCCAAGCCAGTACTGATCAACATCCCACCCCTCCTGTGACCCATGGTTTGTCTGTATGTATCTATGTGTATATATATATATATATATATATATATATATACACAAGGGTGCTAAAAAATGGGCGGTCACTTTTGAACTCAGTTGACTTTATAACATTGACAAAATTATTTATTGATTGTGAATTTATAATTATGCCATAATACGATGACCATAGTCAGTGCAAAGTGATGTTGCGTTCTAAAAACAAGGAATCTAAGCACCTTATTAGTAAAAACTTTGGCTACTTTTTTCTACTGGTCGTCCCCTGTTTTTTGTTTGTTTGATTTTTGTTAAAACAAACGCAGATTTTAGCGATTATCCTTGAGGGTTTCCGTCACACCAAAATAACATCTAGCCGTCTTTTCTTACAGTGACACCAATGCAAAACATCAAGGGTAGGCGATGGAGCTCCCCAACTACGCCAGTCAACTGCTTCTCCAGCTCAATCAGCAGCGCTCCAAGGGCTTCCTGTGCGATGTCATCATCATGGTCGAGAACACGCTCTTCCGGGCCCACAAAAGTGTCCTCGCCGCCACCAGCCACTACTTCAAGTCCCTTGTCCTCCATGACAACCTCATCCACCTCGACCCTGATATGGTGGATCCAGTTGTTTTCCAGCAAATTCTGGATTTCATTTACACCGGCAAGTTGGCTGATGAGACCTTTGAGGGTGTGGATTTAAGCTCTCTGCTCACCACAGCTAACTTTCTCCAGCTCAATGACCTCGCAAACCTGTGCTCCAGTAAGATCAACCAAAATGGGTCCCTCAGTAGCTCGGCTCGTGGAAGCTCCAAATCTTCAGTTCGCCTGTACGAAGACCACTCATCAGACACTGAAACATACACGTGTATGACGCCTCCCAAAAAACGGCATAATGCTGAAGGTAGATTTCAGAGAAAAAAGCAGGACTTGGGGTTGGATTTGTCTAAGAAAACTTCAGTCAATGATGAGGTTCTTCTATCCAGAAACATCTCCAAAAATATGCAGCTGGGAATAAATGGGAAGTGTGTTCCAAAGGAAGAAAAGTGGATAATTCCTTTGGACGGAGCTCAGGGAAAAAAAAGGGAGGGATCCCGAAGAAAAT